CCTGCAAAGCATCTGGTCTTGTAGTGCCAGACAGTAAGAAAGTGATGTGGAAAATAAACAGACAAACAAACCCGCGACAATGGGGGTATGTCAAAGAGACATAGGAGCTAACTGAAAGAGTAGTCAGTGGTCAAAGCTTTAACAATTGGAGTAACAAAATAAACTATTAGATTATAAAGCAAAGTATTAAAAAAATCCACTGTCCATACTGATGTAAATAAATGATTAAATAAGTAGAGAAAGATGAATAGACAAAACTTTGGTACAGAAAATTCCAAATAATTTATACAACTATTCCAGCCTCAAGGTGGTAGAGCATAACTCCCCATTACCTAAGTGTGGGCTGCACATAGGGACTTCCTTCCAAAAAGTACAGTATGGAAAACTGGAAAAAAGAATAACTTTACGGTGAAGAACCCTGAGAAACCCACCTCAGTCAGGTGATCAAGGTTAACCTATGATGCTATGTTGGTAGTATGTACCCTTGATATAATGTAATAAAAATGGCACTTTACCTCTTTAGTCCTCCTCCAAAAAATTCATAGCCCAAGTCTAAGCATGAGAGAAACATCAAATCAGTACCAAATGAGAGGTAGTCTACAAAATACCTGTCCAGTGTGCCTCAAAACTGTCAAAGTCATCAAATCAAGCGAAGTTTGAAAAACTGTTACAGCCAAGTGGAGCCTACGGAGACATGGCACCTAATTTAATATGGTATACTGAATAGGGCGCTGAGACAGAAAAAGGATCGTGAGGCAAAACAAAGGAAATCTGAATCAAGCATAGACTTTAGTTAATAATAATGTATCATTATTGTTTCATTAATTGTGACTGAGGTACTGTAATACTTTCAGATTTTCCTAATAGGGGACAGTGGGTGTGGGGTATATCAGAATCCTGTACTATCTTCATAATCTTTCTATAAATATCAAACTATTCTAAATTAATCTTTTTAATTCAAACAGACAAAAACACTAGTGCTTAATAGGAACTCTTACTAGCCTACAGGATAAGCATCTTTCTTATTTTACTGATACTCACAGTTCATCTCCAGCATGGAAGCTGCAATCCAGAAACAATGTGGCATGTTTGCATATATCTAAAATGTGAAACTCAGAAGTTATATAAATTATTTTTTACATTAACAACTTTATTTCTTTAGTACTTTTGTTCATCTTATTCTAGGACAGTAATAGTTTTATGATTTAATATCATCCAAAAAAATTTTATAAGAGAAATTCTCTAAGTCATCATTCTCATTTTGTTCCAGGCTTACTTCATAAAAGGTTGAGTGGGTAAAGAATGAACAAGAGGTATCAGGAGGGAGACGAACGAGAGAAATCAAACATGCCCTGATACTGACAGATCTGGCTACAGTTATTTTAATGCGCATAATACCTGTAAAATCTTAATAGTGGTGGAGGAGTGCTACCATTCGCAATTCGTGCCTCATCATTGTGTCCCCATGAGCTGTCAGTGTCTCCACTTTGATCAACTTGACCTCAGTGATTCAGAGACGGTCTTGTCAGAGAGGAAATTATTCCTAACTATTCCTCATCCTGAACCGTGCTTTGAGGAATACTATTTAGCCTCTGAGAAAACCCACTTTGGAAAAGTATTTCATTTATAAAAAGTACTTTATTTATAAAAAGAATTTATAAGCATTTATTAAATCAAGCAGTCTTTGAAAGCTACGCAATTTATGGTTAACTTTGACGAAAGTAAGTAAATGACAAAGTATTCTTTTTCAGGCTGGTTATGTCTGTGTTGATATGTATTTGATACCTTCACTTTGAAATGGTTGATTATTTTATTAAAGAATTGGTTAACTTTTAAAATACAGCACAAATCCCCAACTAATAAGATCCTAGTATATATACCTGAGATGAGACAGACTCAGTTTTGAATGATACATGATGATGTATCTATTTCCCATTCATTCTTTCATGCATCCATTCAACAAATGTTTATTAAAATCTCTATGTGCCAAGTAATTTTATGGTGCTGGAAATATAGCAATGAAATAACCAAATTAATCCTTGCCTTCATGGAGCATACACATTAAATGCAATTTATGAATTGAAAGGTGGCAAACCATCAATTTATTAGGTGAAAACTGAGAGCTATCTATAAGAAATACTTCAATCAAAACAAGCATGTTTGCAATGTAGTAAAGTGAGTGAAGAACTTTGAAGACAGTCTCCGGACCGTTACTAATGTATAATGCAATAAATAGTGGTAATGGGAAAGTGAGTGTAATTCACGATTCAAGATAATTCATAAAGATATTCACTACTGAGCAAGGTACATTTAAAAAATCTACTGTCTTTCTTAATCCTCTGTCACGTTTCTACTGCAGTAAATTTGCTGTTTTGCTACAAATGCTGGATGAACTGGGGGGCCCATAGCTTACTCTTTCTTGTTTCCATGTCTTCTGGCTGTTACCTTCACAGTGCCAAACATGGTATACTTTTCCCTCACTAGGAGATCAGTAGGGTCTTTGAACCTACGCCACAACGTGGCTGTGAGAACTACCAGTCAATTACAATTTCGAGGAAAGTAAACAGACTACAATTTCGATGCTTTTAGAGAATTTTGGCTTTATACGCACACTTTGTGTTCTGTAGTATTCCAGAAAACTCTGTGGAACTGGACATGTTTAAGACAACAAGATAAGGCTGAAAATAGGCATCCTCTGAGTCTGAATATCACAGAAAAAGCTGTGTGATTGGAAGAATAACAGCAGACATTAAAGTACCAAAGTCGTTAACACCCTATCATGGGTCTGTAAAACACTACATAGTTAACAAATTTTACTCTCTTACGGATTATATCTGTCTCTATTTATTTTAATTTTATTTAAAGATATACTTCACCCTTGAGTTTCATAGTTGAGTTCACTGACATAATAAAATAATAAAGAATAAAAAGTTTCATGTATATTACTTTGAACTTTTACCATCAATCATTCATTCTATACATATTTATTGCACCCTCATCTGTCCTAGACACTGTTCTAGATCTAGAGATACAGCAGTGAATAAAACAAACGATACCCCTGCCCTCAGAAAAATGACATTCTACTTGAGAGGATTTAAAAAAGCAAATTTAATTAAGATATGAAGAACAGTTCAAGTGCAAGAGCTAGGAAGAAAATAAAACACTGAAGGAGCAAAGAGAATGGTGACTTGAGAGGCGATGAGGGTGAGAGATGGTTACTCAACGCAGAGAGTAGACAGGAAAGGCCTCAGTGAGGAACCCAGAGGAGAGTGAGAGCGCCCTGCAGAAGTCTGGGGGAGAAGCACCTCTGACTGATGGAATGCCAAGTGCAGCGGTCCTTGAGCAGGAGTGTGTCTGAAGTGCCCCAAGAACGGAAGGCCTGGGCAGAGCTGCTGAAGAGCAGCAGCAGGAGGTGAGCCTGGGCAGAGCTGCTGAAGAGCAGCAGCAGGAGGTGAGGTCAGAGAAGATGCAGGGAGCCAGACAGTGTTGATCCTTGCATGCAATTCCGGATTTATGTTTTCCTCTTGAATGAAACCGAAAGGCACTGGAGGGTTTTAAGCAGAGAAATCACAAGATCTCGTTTCTATTTTTAAGTGATCAGTTTCTTCCCCTACTCTGCTTTCACACTGCTATCGGACCCAACAAGCAGTTCTTTGAAACTTTGCTCTTTCTGTCTGTTACTCGAAGCAGCGCCTCTGATTTGATTACGTTTTCTGAGGAGTGGAAAATATAATTAAAACATGACAGTGTGTTATTTTGTCTGAACAATGCTGGAAGTTAAGATAGCTAGAAAATATATGTATATAATATATATAAGTACTTTATATATTATACATTGCATTATAAATATATATATTTATAATATATAAAGTATATATTATATACTACATATAAAATTATATATAATATGTAATCTCACCAAATGTCTGATACTGTTCAGATAGGGCTATGACTCTGGTTATGTACTACTCACTAAGGCTGGCATCTTTTCCATCTTATTATATATACATTATACATATAATATGCATGTATATAATATATATATATTATTTGTCTCTATACACACACTCACACATATAAACCATTCATTAGTCCATGGTAGTCTTTCCTATGTCTTTTATGAACGCTAAGAACTGCAAAAATAAAAGTCCCCAGCATCAGAAAAATATTAGTCAATACTTCTTCATGGTGTCAAACCCGGCGTCTATACAAGTCTCAGCAGATTCATAAAAATGGATTTTGAATCAGTATCCATATGTTTGTGAATTCAGAATATCCAGATATATCTGAAATAGCATATATAATTTTTCTGTTTTCATCAGAAAAGTAGTAGTTTAATAGATACTGGCAGATAGTGATGAACACCATAAGTGGTTGTGACGTCTTAATGAAAAATTTGGGAGAAATGGAAATGGAAGAAAATGTTTCTTTTATTTACTATTGTTTTCAAGATATACCATGTATTAGTAACATTTTTGAAAGAAAACTCCCACTATATTTAATATAAGAATTTATAAATGATTATAGGACCCACATGATTTTAAAAATAATAAATGATAAAAAATGACAATGTTGTGAAAATGTGGTAATATAGATGATCATGTATATATTAGCATAATGGGATATATTATACAGAGTCCATAAATTTTAGAAACATAGAAGATTTATAAGGCTATCAAAAGTGTCTTTGTTCTGTAAAAAAGTAAAATATTTCATTTATGTTTCTAGACTTCATAAAGAAAATGTGCACTTAAAAGTCTATATGACTACAGTTTTATTATGGGAAAATTCTCAAGATAATTAATTGATTTATATTTGTAAAACACTTTACAATCTGTAAAAAATATGTAGACAAATTAAAATTATTTACAGGTTAGAATAAAATTTAATTGTTTGGGATTTTTATTATACTACATTCCAAGAATGCCATATATATTATACACAGTTGTAATTTCAGGGTTCTGGTATTCATGCAACTCTTTATTTATACTATTTTGCAGCCCCCTCTCCAGTCACCAATGTGAAAAAGGGGAAGATTGCAAAAAACAGTATCTCTTTGTCTTGGCAAGAGCCAGATCGCCCCAATGGAATCATCCTGGAGTATGAAATCAAATATTTTGAAAAGGTGAGACTAACAGAATAAAGAATATTCTCTCTTCCTCTTTTTTTTTTCTTTTCATTTTAGCAACTGCAATTATTCAATTTGTAGAAAAGCATGGTGCAGTTTTACGTGTAAATCAATGAGAATTGATTTGGTCGTCACGATTGTGGAGGCTAAAAGTGTACAGGGAGCACTCAATTTCTGGTCCGCTGCTGCCAAATAGTTTACGCTGCTGGAATACTGTCATATAGTGTAACATCGGCTTAACTAGTTTTCACAGCATTAAAAGATGAAGTCATAGGACATTTTGAAAGTGTCACAAACACTGAAGTTGTTGACCTTCAGTAGTGACTGCAGTGTACAACAATGAAGAACGCATTTGCTTATGACCATTAACCCTGCATAATACCTATGCTGTTAAGGAAGTATGGGCAGCTACGATGTGAATATAAAGTACAACTTTTAAAAATTCATAACAAATTTCTAACACTATATTATAAACTTTATTTTAAAATTTAAGGACACACAATTGTAAATGTGTGCCTCATAGTCCCTGCATTTTCTCTATTTCTTCTTCTTCACTGAGTCGTTTCTTAGGTTCCCTCTTATGTATTTTACCTAATAGTTGTTGAAGTCCAAAGGCAATAATCATCCCTCTTCCTCTTCTCTGAATCCTCAACCAAGTGAGCTACTGATAAAGGAATAATACAGATGGAAAATAAAAAGGAACTAAAATTTATAGATCAGGACTGGAGTATGTGGCTTACATATATAGTTACCATGAGTCTTCCTACCCCTCCCACCTCCATTTTACTGTGATTTTTGTAGTCTGGATCTGAATGACATACACCCCTTAGAACAACCTGAGTTCTGGTAGAGGACATAAAGATTGATGAGTGCCCAAAACAACCTCTAAGAGGTGGCTAGAAGACCCTGACCCAGAAGAGTGTGTCCTATGGAATAGGAGTAGACAAGAAGACAGACATAATGCAGAGAAGCAGATGCCAAAAAAGAAGGGAAGGACTCGGCCACACTTACTCAACTGCTTCTCTCAAACTCAGAGACCGCTCTTCTCTGAAGGAAGAGTGAAGAGGGTGGGACGAAGTTCTAAAACTTGCTTTGCAATACCTAAGAAATTGTCTAAGCTAGGACATTGGAAAAGAGTGGGGGAATTAATGGTTCTATTTATAGTAATACAAAAGTATCATGAAAAATACTGATACCCTATTAATGAAAATCACTTAAAAGTCCAATGTTCTATATATATGCGAGATAAAAGAGTGTAGGTAAACACACTGAACTATATTGAAATAATTCATAGCATTATAGAGATTTTTTAGAAATTTGCTTCTTTCCTTCATTGATGCAACAACCACCTGTGTAAAGATACAACAGAAAACAAAACGGCAGGGTGTGGGAGAGAGTGACGCCATTCACATATTCTTTCTAGGTTTTGGATGTCTGTGCAATTCATAGACTGATTTTATAAATAGATAAATAAACGGTCAATTATTACTCTTGAAATAGCTATCTTTCTAGGAATGACTTTCTCGTAATATCACATGTAACTATTGGATAGGCAACATAAATCAAAATACCTGTAAGATATTTCACAAAAAATATAGCATCAAATACATTATTCAGTCTAAGAGAATACCTCTGAGACAAAGCTATGTTGGCTTATGGTTTGCAGGGTTTATTGTTAACAAATAATGGGGTAAGTCAAGTAAAGTGTCATGACATTAATATCCTTCTCTGATTCTTGTTTCCCTGGGAGTGGAGTCCAGACTGCATTGCAAATTCCAGAAGTCTACAGTTTAAACACAAGCTATATCCAAAAATAATTTGTTAAATTAAAGCTTACATTCCTTATTCAAGCTTTTGTAAACTTTATTACCGTGTACTAAGGCAAAGCTAGGTAAATAGAGTGATTTTTGTACAGTCTGTACATTTTATATATATAAACATAGGCTGAATTATTTTATAAACATTCTAACTTTCCAAATTTTTATTTCCCTTAAAGTTGATTTTAAAAGAAGTTGATATGCGTAATGGCATTTTAAAATAACTAAACCTCAAAAATCATGTATTTGAATATATGTATTTTAGATAAAATTAAATTCAACAGCAGGAAGACAAAAATTTGACAAGTACTTATTTTTCTGCGCTGTTTTCTTCCCCTGAAGCAACAAACTGGACCGTTGTCTGGTTTTCTTTTTTGTCTTTAAGGAAATCATCCTATTTTTTTCCCTTATGAGTAAACTTTGTTTTTACTATTGCTTTGCAGCATATGCATGAATTTCATATACATAATACTCAATAGGTAAGGATTTTTCTTTTCTTTTGCTCTTTCTCTTTAAGCTGCTGCTTCTGATAAAGAATTACTCAACAAGTGATGGAGAAGATTCCTTTTCTATTCACATTCCTTCTAATGAATTTTATCTGTGTTGTAAAATTATTTTCTTTATAGTTCAATTCTTTTTAAATAATATTTAGTTCAGTAAGATTTGGTTTATTTTTAACGCCATATTAATGCATTCTATTATCCTCATAACTCAAAGAAAAAAATTATTTTGGAAAAAGATTTCTATACATATCTTCAATAAATGAATAACAAGTTGCCCACTTACATGCTGTAAAAGCAACAAAACCTTCATATAATATATTATTTTGGGGAAGTTAACTTCTTTTGCTCAGGTTTTTCTTTTTTATGGTGACAATATTAATTCCCAGATGTTTTTGCCAAGCAAAACTATTGAGCATACCAGTAAAATACACATGAAGTTTTTTTAATACTTTCAGAAGAAAAAAGAGGATAATGAGCTTTTATCCCATGTATTAAGGCGGGAATCCTGATAGGTTTCCAGAACTCGTTTTGAACTTTCAGAATGACACCACCGTTTTATTGGATGGCTCTTGGCCAGACACAGGTGGCAGAGCTTTCCAAGCCTCCTGCATTTGCCAGCTGGCATTTCTGCCTGCGATTGCCCTGCTCTAATAGAGGTCATCAGGCCTCCCTGCTCCGGCGTGGTGATGGGCCCGTTGCCATCTCTTAATTAAAGGCAGAGGCGAAGGGAAGCTGCCCTTTGGCAGGGTGCTTGCCAGCTGGCTCCTTCAGCTGAGGCCCTCCTCTCGCTGCATGTGAACAGTGTTTGCTAAGCAGCTGGGGAATGTAGCTCATTTGCTCAGCTGGGGCAGGAAGGCATGGAAAGCCACTGCCCCGACCAAGGACTTGGCGGCTATTTAGTTGTGAGTGTTGAAGATGCGTATATACGGTTTGATGCGTGTATAAATTGATATGAAGGAAATTAGAATCCAAGGGTGATTTAAAGGAGTGGAGCAGAAGCAAATTTTGGAAGATACTTAGAGAATTCAAAATGTGTATTTATGGGTTTTGATCCCCTCAACGTATGCTTTACTAAGTTCCTTCAGTAATATAGTACTGAACTAACTCAGGGAGACAGCGTACAATCAAATCTGTGATAAGGAACGACTGAGCCGTACATAATGTTAATAGATAAATCAGGCAGAATGTTGTGTAATTTTGTGCAATTGATATGAGATCATGCATTATTTCAAGACACAACGTTCCAATTCTCTTGTAATTTTTTCCCTTTTCTCATAAAAATATCAATTTCTAATTATTTTACAAAATATATTAATTGTGACTTTAATAGTTAGGAGTGACAGCTATGTAAGCTTTATCAAATTCTTTTGTTTTTTTCCTTTCCAATAGGCGAATTTGCCATCATGCTATAGGGTCAAATCAAATCACCTAGACCACCTTGTGTTGTGGTGGTTGTGCCGAGTGCTATCTATATTATCTCTGTCTCTATGTTTATGTCCTCACAATGCTCTTGATAAATAATTTCAACTCATTTTGAAGACAAAAAAAACTGAGGTTGAGTTGTGTACCCACATTGACACACCGACTTAGCTAATAACACATCTGGAATTCTAACCCTGATATTCCTGTGCTCTTTTATTTGAAAAAAGCCTTCTTACTTTACATTATAAATGTTAATAGTTTATGTAAATATCATAATCATATCAAATATATCGGGATCTTAACTTTAGTTTTATCTAGTTTTTTCACCAATTTAAATTCCCTTTAAACAAAGTGAAAATAGTAGAGAACAGGTATTTAATCATTTCTTACTGAAAAACACTGCTGTAATCACAAACTGGAAAGTATAATATTGTTGAGAAAGTCTTGCACATTCTCTCATAAACTTGAGCATTCTCAGAACATCAGTAACTACAATAGTTTATAGAAGCTATTTACCCCTTTTAAAAAGAATATGTCAAGAAATTGTCTGCTTTTTTACTGCTATATGCCTAGCATATAGAAGATGTACCAGAGTAGGTGGGACATCAATAAATGTTTGTGAATAAAGAAAATGACTGACACTATTAGGTAAAGGTTTATAAGATTTAATTGTCTAATTTTAATCCTTTGCAAAACTATAATAAAATGTCTTAAATGCTTTAAAGATTAGGCATTTAAATTAATGTGTGTGTTAAAAGTATAAAGATCAATCATTTGTATAGAATGAATCAGAAAACCTATTTAGATTATAAATTAGGCCATATCTATCTAGAGAGAAATTTGGATGTACTTGACCCTAAGATAATTTTATATGTTTAGGCATATTAAATGAGGAATAATAAAATTGCTTGAAAAGAAGAATGTTTATAGGCTGTATATTTTAGGTGGTATTTGTGGAAGTATAGAAAGTGGTCAGAAGCTGACTTTGATGTGTCAAATTAGAAAAAAATTAAAATTATAATTATGACAATTAAAGCATGTACTTTACAATTTATTAAAGTGTTTCACAGGCATGACCTGTTTCATTTATACAACATCTCGGTGAGGATATCCAGGCAACAATTTCTATCCCAATTTTTCAGAGAGGGAAACTGAGGATAAAAAGTAGAAATGAACTCACTGTGTTTTAGGACATGATTCCAGTGTGCACACTAAAGTTACAATATGGCATGCTGCTATCTATTGTAAACCGCAAGCGAGAAAGACTGTGGCTTGCATTTGTTTGCACTCTAACAGCATTGTGAAGATTAAATAGCAGCCATGTTCCCTATTAGAATGCTTGAGAAGTAAATATTATATTCTTGCTTTCAGTTTTCTTCTCATTTAGGAAAGAATATTCTTTCACATGTTATTCTCATTAGATCTTTAAAAAATCAATCAATGCATATTTCTATCTTTAAAGACAAATTTCCTGAAATATTTAGAAAATGATAGTTTACAGTCATCAATCAGGTTATTGTAAGTAAAACACACTTATTTAAAAAGGGGGGAAAGTCTCTAACCATTACCTATCTTTAATTTGTCCCTTAATATCTATCAGAAATGTAATAAATGTGGAAAGACTTTAAGGAAAAGAGGTTAGCCAAGAATTCACACAGAAAAATATAAGGGAGGAGAAAGTTCAAAACAAGAACTTAGTGTTTTTGAAATCTTTATAGGTCTAAGATTTTAAATTCAGCGTGGTGACTTCAGAGACAATGAGGAGTTATAGATGGTTAATCTATACTTCGTTAGAAGTCCTTTTTGTTTCAGTTTCCAAAACCATCTCTCCAGTGATTTTTTTCCCACTCCATCTCCACTCACTATTCCTCCAGCCCAAACATGTGAAAGAGAAAAAGATAAAACGTTTTCAGAAAGGAAAAAAAAAATTTCTTATTTACAAAATTTTAGACTTAGTGAATTGAAATTAAAGTAGTTCTCCAGTGAAATACTCATTCTTTCTCCCAAGCTGTAAATACAATTAGAAATCAAATTCACTAAAGATGTAAAGCATGAGTCCTATCTGGCAGTATATGTGACATTGCTACCTTTCTCTATGAACAGACAGATGTGTTCCCATAAATTATTTATGAGAAAAACATGCACACCAATAACAATACTAAATTAGAATCTGTAAAATAATTTATATTCTGCAAACTGTATGTTAAAAGTTTACAAATTTATTTTTACCAAGGGCAAGTGTGGTGGTTGGGTGGAGAACATGTCACCCACCATCTTTGATTTCTAGAAAACACTTTAAGATTCAATATAAGTATCTAGGATCTCTAGGTTTTATTTTTTCTAAAACGTTGTGTTTGTACTAATAGTAAGTCTATTATTAGTTTCTGATTCATTTTCTGATCTATGATTCTGAGTTTTTTTGTCATTAATAATTCGTATGTTGCCTTTTTTTATTGTATGTGCATGTGTAACCGAAGGACCAAGAGACCAGCTATACAATTATCAAATCTAAAGAGACAACTATAACTGCAGAAGGCTTGAAACCAGCTTCAGTATATGTCTTCCAAATTCGAGCACGCACAGCAGCAGGCTATGGTGTCTTCAGTCGAAGGTTCGAGTTTGAAACCATCCCAGTGTGTAAGTCATTTTAATTACTGTCAACTCATGTCTCTGTAATGGTTACCAGAAAATAGTCAGTGGATCAATACTCTCCCTGGGCATTCTGTCAGTCTGCCGCTCCTTCTCCCTCTCCCAGGCATGACCCCTTCAGGTAGGAAGCATTTGCCATGCTGTTATGGTAGCTTAGCCTGTTAACACATCGGTCCCCTCTCCTCATTGCTTTTAGTCTACTGGGAGATGAAACATCAGGAGATCCTTAAGAAACGTTTAAACTTTGCTTTTAAAGACTTTCTTTCCATTGCTGCCATACTTTATTGAATTATTGCCGTTTACTTTATGCCTGTTTTATTTGAACTATGCTACCAGGCTTAGTCTTTCTATGAAAATTCCACAGGGAGCACACGTTAGGATTGAGTTTGGCAAGAAAATGGTGCTCTCAGGAACCAATCTGATTGTTTTAAAAAATCTAAATCTCTGGTAGTGTCTCTGAGTGGAGAGTCTGGAAATTCTGGAAAACCCTTCTTGTGCCATATTTTTATTCATAAAATAACATAAAACTTTTGCCTCATTTTAGTGCCAAACAAAATATTTAGATTACTTACTTGTCCTAAAACAAATACATTAAAGGGAAGATTAGAAGACAATAATTTGCCTTGTTATAGGTTAAAGAGCTGGCTCTATTAAAGTTTTGTTATGAAGAAAATAACACACAGGAGGAGTGTGAAATGTCAAATATGCATATGTATGTGTGTATATATATATATATACTTTTTAAAGCCAGGTTATGTAAGAATTAGTGATTTTAAAATGAAAATAAAATGCATATTTCACCCCTTTGACATCAACAAAATGAGAGCTTAGATTTTGTAATGATTAGAAGAATTATCAGGTTAAAATGTCCCCCACCTTGTATAATGTAGCTCTTTAGAAAATCAAGATATACATCTGTTTAAAGCTTGTTTAACTTATCTAGAATAAAATTTTTATTACTTAAAAAATAGCTTTCTCTGTTATTTCACTTGATTTTGTACAGATTAGGGGGCCACTGTGAAAAATGATAAATTATTTTCTTTCAATTCAAGGAATTGTCTGAGATTTAATTGAAACTACTGAAATTTGCACATTTAATGCTCTTTAGAAAAGTTCTGTAATAGATTTGATACAAATAAATGATATTAGAAAATTCCTATAATGGCAATTGGTTAATTATTTACTCTCATATCGTGAAACTTCAACTGGATTTATGACAAAAAGCTTGATATATAAGCTGGGTACCCTCCTAGGCTTTGTTCCTTTTGAGGTACCATTAGTAATGTATACTGCTTACGTGGTTTACCAACTCTGGGAACAAACCCAGAGAGTAGGATCTCACAATATGCTTGAGTGCTTGGATAACTATACAAATGAAAAATCCCATTTTAAAAGATTGCAAAATTCTGCTTAGTTTTGGGATATTGGCACATCCAGCAATTAGTTTTCAGGATTGCTTTTTGGTAAAAGCAATACTTGTTGGTATTCCTTCCCTTACTTTTTTAATTAAATAGTAATTTCCAGGCATGCCAAAATTCATCAGTCTGATCACTAAGAGAACTAATAAGAGGTCATTTTCCATATGCTTTTATAAAATCTCACCTGAGACTGTCTATTTTAAAATTTTTTCCTACAAACTTTCTAGAGGAAAAGAAATATCACACAAATATTTTTTTACTACAGAAGTAGATATAGGGCTTTTATTAAGAGGTAAAGAAAATATTTTAAGGTTATATGTCTCCTAGCTATTAGTGCGAAATTTTATTTTTACTTGAGCATATGTATATGTCTGCAAACATTTTATGAATGACTTTTTCTTTGACCAAGTATGTAATACATACGGATGCTCTTTGACCTTTATGTAGGATCCTTTCTGGATGTAATTCGACAAGAATGTACTGAGCACCTATTATGTGTTAGGCTTTGTGAGGCTCTAGAGAAATCAACACGAGCAACACATTAAACTTTCTCTCCGGAGAAGAAGAATACAGTCTATTTAATTCTGGAGAATGGAATATTTGTTTCAAAAACCATTTTAGGATAATACTTTTGTTCATTATTCAAACATTTATTTTATTTACATCCTACAAATCAAAAGATTTTTCACTCTAGGTACTAGGAGTGACTAAAGTCACTTTAAGGCATAATCAAGGCACATAGTCTAAGAGGAAGTTAATTAATAATACAATACAATATGTATTATATAATTGATAATTAAAATAACACTTGCTTTTTAGAACTTCTATGGCATTTGTTTTATGTGCCATTCATTTGGCAATTGTTTGTATAATATTTTGTGAAATCACTTTATTATTCTATTCAGCAGTTACTTAATATCATAATTTAATTCTTCATGTACATATATTATTTCCACAATACGGTCTGCAAAAACTCGAATGTAGGAATTATGGTATCTTAAACATATTTACATTTTTCCTATTAAAGTTGTCAGGAGTTTTCATTTGGTAAGTGGCAGTTAAGAATATTGGCTTTATTGAGTCATCCTTGCTAAGGAAAGTCTATCTTACTCAGGTATGTTAGGACAGAAAATTATCTGAAAATCATTACCTTGAACATACACTTTAAAAAGAATTTTCTAATTGGTTACTCAATTCATAATAATGATGCATGGTAATAATACATTGACATTTTATTATTGATTTGCTTAATTTTTTAAATGTTTTAATTATTAATTTTTGTTATACTTCAGTTAAAAATGGTTATGAAGGGCATTCCTTTTTTATCTACGTCATCTTGCATCTCAAAAGTATAGCTCTAAAACCAAATGCAAATACTGGTAAAAACAGGAATGCAAAAATATTTATTTTACAAAGGCTATTTCACATGAGGATTTGGGTAGAAAATCTCCAACTATTCTTTCTCTCTCAAGCTTTAGTTTATGTTTGTAACTGACTATTATCCACTTTATTTTAATTTTATTGTGCATACAATTAATGTGTTTAAAAATCGACCCCTGTTCCCAACAGCAATGGTAAAAACACACCAACAAATAAACCTAGCCTGAGTGAAACCATCCAGCCAACCTAGTTAGCTCTTTTTCTGTCTTTTTTTTCAACATGATAAAACTTTGAGACTATTACTGAATCTTTCTTAACCCCTACTTACTCCTTTGTGTTTCTTTTATGATTGCTTTCTTCCCAATGTGTCACTTCCTTTCATCCAACTCTTAACCTATTTGATTCAAATCAGTATAACCCAACTGCTGGAATAATGCTATTCTGTTTTATAAATGAAATTTTATTGAAGTAATTATAGATTCACACGCAATTGTAAGCAACAATACAGAGAGAACTCCCGTATATTTTGCTCAGTATCCCCCAATGGTAACATTTGCAAAACTGTAATATAATAACACAACCAGGCTGTTAACAGTGATGCAATCCACCAATTTTACTCACATTTTCTTGTGCTCCTTTGTATGTGTGTGTGTAGACCTGTGTGTGTATTAAGTTCTATACAATTTGGTCACTTGTGTAGGTCCGTGTATCTACCATCACAATCAAGATTCCAAATAGTGCCAACATCACAAGGAACCCTCATGTTGCCCTTTCATAACTGCACCCACTGCCTTCGGGAACAACTCCTGTCCTATAACTAAGCCCAGATAACTGCTAATTTCTAAGCATCCATTTCAAAAATTTTGACATGTTAAAAATGTTTTATAAATGGAATCATATAATATATTACCTTTTAGTTTGGAATTGACTTTTTCACTCAGCACAACTCCCTGGAGATTCATCCAAGTCATTGTGCATATCAAGTTTGTTTCTTTTTATTGTTGAGTAATATTCTGTGGTGTGTATGTACTGCAGTTTGTCTAACCATTCACCTGTTGGAGGACAATTGGTCTGATTCCAGTTTTTGCTATTACAAATAAACGTGCCATGAACATTTGGACACATGTTTTTGTGTCAACCTAAGTTTTCATTTGCCTGGAATGAATACCCAGGAGCAGAATTGCTGGATGATGATGTGGTAATTGCATGTTTAATTTTGTAAGAAACTGCCAAACTGTTTTCCAGAGTGGCTGTACCATTTTACATTCCCACCAGCAATGTGTGAGTGATCAGATTCTCCACATCCTCATCAGCAATTGATGTTGTCACTAGGTTTTGTTTTGTTTTTTTTTAGTCATTTTGGACAGGTAGTGATACATCAGGGTTTTAATTTGAATTTCTCTGATGGCTAATGATGTTCAACACCTTTTCATGTTCTTACTTGCCTGCCATGCAGTTTTAAATTTCCCCACTAACTCTACATATTCATATTATGTATCAAAAATTATAACTTTGATCAGATTATCCTGATTGGGAAGGTTAATAGATACTTTTTGCTGTGGGAGAAAGATCCTAAATTCTCAGCCTGACTTTCAAAAGCCCTTTTAATCTGGCTCTAACAAATCTCTCCAGCCTGAATGATTAATTGTTCAAATATGTAGCCAAACCTAGAGAATCTCTATGTAATACAGGTTTGCAACCAGGAGTTTAGGAAGCAAAGTGAGGGAAAACAATGTGATTTCTCAACATATTTTACCTTAAAGTTTCCAAGGATGATGTAAATATATAATGACTGAAAAGAAGAAACATTATTTGCTAAAGAACATTAGTTTTTATAACTGATATCCTTCTAATAAGTGTGTTATATTGCTCCAAAATTTGCTTTTAAGCATTCCCCAAACATTCCTCAGCCAGTCTTCCAAAACTACATCATAAATCAACTAATTCTTAATAAACATACATAATAAAATGGGAAATATGTGTGACTAGAGATTCATATCTATAAAGATGAAAAAATTTCACAATATATTAAAAGAATTTTTTTCTCCTGCTCGAGTGAACAAGTATGAAGGAATTGACAGTACCTTGTAAATTTATGTATTTTCAACTTAGTTGATATAATTGGGGACATTATTGGTGCTGTCAGAGCAAACAAAGGAATAAATAGTACAAAATCTTGATTAATTTTCTCCTACTAGAAATAGCTCACAAATTAATTAGTGCATGTGAAATAGTTAATAATTGACACCCATTAAGGAACTTAGAAAATGCTATAAATTAAAAAAAATAAATGAAAATGGATTCTTTAAATTCTTCCTTACAGCCTTCACATATAAATATGAATTTTGTGATTTTCATTGCCTACAAAAATTTTCATAAGATATGTTAATTTAAACATTTGAAAAATTTTGGCATGCCATTAACAATTATTTTAATGTAAGATATTATCCCACACCTAGGTGCATATTTTAGCACATTGTTAAATTAGATCTTGGCAGTTATTAAAAATGAACCATTTGACACTACTAAGCACCCATTTTTTTTCTCAAAATTAATATTTTGGTTCACCTGAAATAGCCTTATTTTTATCTATACCTCTGATTAATCATGCCTCCTTCCTCCAAAACCATCTCTCTGAGAGTTCCCAAACTGACACATTGAGAGGAGAAAGATTTGGTAGAGTCAGATTAGAAGGACTTTTGAATGCCAAATGGAAAATTTTGGAATCTTCTTCCATAAGTAGTAAGTATCTATGAACTTTTTGATCAGAGAAACATGATCAAAGTTATATTTTTGTATATTTCATGTGAGTACATAAGAGGCAAAGGGAGCACTGAAAACACTATGAACCATATTCCAGCAGATTTGAATCAAACAGGTCAGTGTTGGATGAAAAAAAGTAATGTGTGGGGCAAAACATAAAAGAAACACAAAATATTTGCTAATTAATGGGCAAGGATGGGTTAAGAAAATTCTGTGATGGTTAAAAGAAACCAGAAAGAGATCGAATTAGTCTGGTTTATTGGTTTAGATTTATGATATGGTTATTTGTTGATGTGTTTTTGTTTAGCCCTTGGAAGTGGATGTGGTATAAGGATTGCTTTTAAGCATGTTTATTTTTTATGTGAAAATAAAATCCAAATAAAGGCAAAGCTGTCTGTTTTTTAAAAATAGTGGTACTTTGAAGAGAAATAAGAATTGGAGATATAAATTTGGGACTCTTTAGCTTATAGTTAACCAATGTCATGAGCAAAGAAGCATCTATGAGAGGGAGAGAGAAAAGGAGGTGGGAAGAGAGAAAGACAGAAAAAGAAAGAGAGAGAGAGGAAAGAAGTGTGGAGGATCAGGAACCAGCGTTCATCAGGAATTGCTCATACATAAGATGTGGGAAGAGAATGTGGAGCCAACAGAAGTGACAAAGTTGTGTTTCAGAGTGGGAAAAAGAGAAAACAGCTCATCTGATGTCATAGAAACCAAGAGGAGGAGTGTTTCAACAATGAAGTATATGTTCAATAAGGTCAGATACTTTATTATCATGCACACTCAGGTAAATGGAGACACACTCGAGGCATTTGACAGAACCATGTATAGAACTCAAAGACAGAAGAAGAAAAGTTTTAGAGAGAATTTAATAATGTCACTTCTCAGAAGACAAGGCTGGTTATAGATAACTCAGTCAAGATGCTGAAAAATAGGAAAGAATAAGGAGAGTAAATAAAGCAGGAGAAAATAGTATGTATAAATAGTATTTACTATTTATTTAAGGCTGGCAATTGCTAAAGCACTATACCAAGTGTTTTATGCATGTTACCTCTACTCTCAACAGAACTATAGTGATCTGGGAAATTATCCCTACTTGGAGATAAAAGAAATGAGACTTTATAAGGTTAAATAATTTGCCCTGGCCCATATGTATAGTAGATGTTGAACGTTTTTTTCAAATTCAAATTGAACTAGCATCAATAAGTTTAGGTAGCAGGATTTATTTCCACCAAGAGAAGACATGTGTTCAGACTTGTAAGTAGCAGAGAAGTAGCCTGTAATAGAAGGAAAACCCCTTCTTGAGGGAGATCTTTGAAGAAGCAATGTTCTGAGAGAGACAGGAAGCGCTCTAACAGAGTTAGGTAAAGCAAAAGAAGGTTATGCAGTTATATTTAGCCATACAGTTCAGAGTTGATCACTCTCTTTTATCCATAATGTTTAGCATTTTGAAAACCTGGGAAATGGGAATGGATTAGTGTACTGATAAAATGAGGAACACTAATTATGGGGATGATTTTGTTAGGAAATTAATAAGAGAGTCAAAAGCATTGGAGCAACAGTTGGAACTCAACCAAATTAACATTGAACTTATATGGGCCAAGGCTCCCTGATTTTCTCTAGAAACAGTGCCCCTGATAAAAAGAAAGTGAAAGAACTGAGAAAAAGCAATGGTTTAAGTCATCTGAGTTTAGAGATTAATAAAACAAATTTGGGGAAATGCTACTAGTGATAGTGGCATAGCTTTGCCCTGTGCCATTTGTAGTGCTCATCAGTATTAAATTCCCTACAACATACCTCAGCATCAGAGAATAGGAGAAAACAGAGTAAAGAGCCACTGAATTGCAACCATTATCATCCAAGAAGAGGGAGAGTAAGAGCATACATTTAGATTGCAAATAATAGTTTTTCTCATACATGAACCAGTTGTCCATGATACTGGGCTCTGAAGACTGGTCTGAGAGAGATGAAAGCGTAGACCAGTGCAAGAAGGAGGTCAGAGAGTTGGTCGATTTTGGTTAGAAAGAATCAAGGGAGAAGTGACAAGAATAGCAAGGGATGTGTTTGGATGTCCAAAACTATCTGGGCCACAATCTGGGAAGAGGCTATGAAAACCAAAACATGGAAAGTATGGTTATTACTAGTTTTGCTGACTTCATATTTGTAATCATGGAAGTGAACTAATCTTACTCTGAATTTATCTTAATGATTAATTACATCATTAAACAGTAAGCATGCTAGGTATTCTATTGAGGGTTTTTTTGAGAACATTAGTAAACTTTATTTTGCCCTATAGATGTCTTACTTTAATCAGGTTTAGTTATCAGCGCAAAAGAAAAACTACCTTGCTTATTTAGGCACGACTATCTAATCATGTCCATATTCCTCTTGTTATGGTAATTATATTGTTAAAATATAAAATATTTCATCGAAATTCACGTATTTTTTTAAAAGATGACATAAACAAATCTAACCTTATTACAGGCTTCTCAAATTCCTGATATTTTTCAAAAAATGGTCCTACATATAAAATATACTTACTGATTATATTCTTGTTGGAAATTATGGTTTTTAAAATTATATTCAGAGTAGTCATATTATATTTCACTTCAATGAGATCATAGCCACATCATTTTGGACTTCAACCTATGTCTATGGGAAAAAATCCCATCTAGGGCGATAAGATTTTTTTCCTAGAGAACAGCCACATGCAAACTCTGAAAAATCGAATCTCATATACTTCGCATTTCCTCTTTAGATTAAGGTGTTTGAAATCAAGGACTAACTTCCATTTTATCTTGCAAACCTAAGGTCCCTAGATGAATACTATGCAAACAATTGCATTCATTTTTTATGATGACAAGGAAATAATCAATGACTTAGTGATTCTTTTGAATTTTCATTTGGAGAGTAAATATTTTCTCTTAAAGATGTCTTTTCAATTACACACTTTTGAGAAGAGATATTAAGGGGAAAACTCAGCCATGTGTGGGTGAATTGCTTAAACCGTGCGTTGATTACCCGCGATTAAGCAGCTCTTATTTGAATGCATATGATCACTTTAACTGCAAGCTCCATTTTCTGTCTCCTATCAGCAGTTGCAGCATCCAGCGATCAAAGCCAGATTCCTATAATTGCTGTGTCTGTGACAGTGGGAGTCATTTTGTTGGCAGTGGTTATCGGCTTCCTCCTCAGTGGAAGGTAAGAGAGGAAGCTGTGACTCTGAACTTTTGCAGCTGATCGCTTCCTTACTTTGATCTGACCATTTGGTGGTTAAGCACATCCCAAAACAAATCAGGCAAGTAATAGATCAGTAGGTAACCTCAGCGTAGGATGTGTGTCTTAAGCCTTACCTTGTGCATGCTAGTTCTGACTTTTAAGCACGCAATTTCTCCTTTCCAGGTATGCTCTCTTCACAAGAATAGCCTTATTATTTATTCTGTCATTAATATAACCATATCTTTTTCTGATATAATTGTTTAATCAATTTTTTTTTCTTTTCAAAAGTATATATGGTTACCTGCTTCAATTTTAGTGTTTATGAAGACCTGTGTCTGTGCCTGGTATAGGACTAATAATTCTAGTTAGCCAGCATTCTATCCTAACAGGGTGATGAATACAAAGCTGACACTCTGACAAACAAGGATTTTGAGAAATAACCAATGCTTTTTTATGACTGCTTTTATTTTCAGCCTCTGAATAATTTCAACCTGAATACATCAATCATAGCGTATGCTAAAATAAAGTGATTTTTTTGTATGTGTGTGAGGAAGATTGGCCCTGAGCTAACATTTGTGCCAATCTTCCTCTACTTTTTGTATGTGGGACGCCACCTCAGCATGGCTTGATGAGTAGTGTGTAGGTCTGTGCTCAGGATCCGAACCCTTGAACCCTGGGTGGCTGAAGTGGAGCCCACAAACTTAACCACTGTGCCACCAGGTTGGCCCCTAAAGTGAATCTTATTGAATGTTTTATCAGTATATACATTAATATATGTATTATATATCTACATTTTTCATTTTGAACAAGAATAAAAGAGGTAGAGTCCCAAAAAGAGCTCTTGTGGAAGGTATGCATTGACATTAAGCTGAGCATAATCAACCTTTCTAAAAAAAATTAACAAATAAAAACAGGAGTGTGTTCTCTTCCTACAGCAAACATATTTTCATTTTTCATTCAGGCCATTGTGAGAAGGACCATTCAGTAATGAGAGCTGCCCATTTGAAAATGTTTTGGTGTTAGACTATTATAGAAAAGTTGATGAACATCTTCTTGGAAATGTGAAACCTGCACAAATATGTGAGAATGTCCTGTAAGATCCAAAAAAAGTCAGGAAATCAATATTCATATTGATTTTGTTACTGTTCTACTCATTTACTTTTGACTCTTCAGCATCTATTCAACTCATAAATATACAGAGTTAGGTACTTTTCAATATACTGCATGTTTTATTCTGAAAATATTTATAACTATAAACTTAAATTACAGTACTATCAAATTATATTCATAAAACATTGTTACTTCGTTTGAACATCCTTTCTCTTTGTATCTGAAAATTCCCTTTCTTCCAGTTCTTGTTCATTTAAGAGTGTTCAAAGTTTTCTTAATAATATATGTCGAAATCCATTGCTTACTTTTAATGTTAGAATAGCAAGGATACATTTTTAGAATTTCTAACTGGGAAGTAGTTTGTGTTCTCTTGAGGACAGCTAGCCCTGCTCAGTCTGAAGGTTGGTTGTCTAGTGTCCCGCTAATCTGTTTCTCTGAAGTCATCGGTGAGAATGCTCCAACTATGTCTCTGCTCTCTGGAAGATAAGCTAATTCCACCAATCTTGTTGTAAAAACTTTGCTCAGATTTTGATCAAAGAAGATAATTAAATTAGTGAATTGCAACTACTATGAAAACTACAATGTGGTAATGTGTCTTTTCTATCCCAAAAGGGTAGATATATGATACATTTGCAGAGCTGCTTTGTGATATCATTTATTTACTTCTGACTGAGATATCAGTTGGTTTCTTCCTTTCCAATAAATCCTGAGGCTTTAGTTTTATTTAGAGATACGGTGATCATAAGAAGATATTTTATTTTGGGGGGCCACACTTAGGAGAAATGAATAAAAATGGTGGAAAGAGCTAAGGTCTAGAATCCAATAAATTTCTGTGTTTGAGGGTTTGTTAAAGAACAAATCTAATATAGAAGGTGTTTTGTTGTAGACTTAGAGCATTATATTTATTTAACCTAAGCATTGTTAATGTGAATTTACTGATGACATTCAGTCATTTATTCTTGCTTACCCGGGTGTGCATCAGCCCCTGTTCTCAAAATATTTTCTTCCCAAATATATATATATATATATATATATAAAATTGACTTAAAAACAACTCACTTTGTTACTTCTGTAGGATTAGACAAAATGTTTGTGAGACAGTTCAATTTTCTTATTATTTGGTTACCTGAATTTGCTGTAAAATAATAACTAAATTTAGTATAATTTCTCAGTTATACAGGAATCACATCTACACCCAAGAGACAAAGCTTAATTTTTAGCATAACTAAATCTAAGACTTGGTAAGATAAACTTTTAGATGTATTGTCTCATAGAAGTATACTACTTTTTAAAAGTAGCAACACCTTCTGAATTTGTGCATTGTCCACTCATGTTAATTTTTTAAATTTCATAATGCACAGCTTATGATGCTGAGACTAGAAATTTGCAGTTTAAAGGAAAACAAATTTTATCAAAACACAATCTGAGGTTTATATCTTTTTTTACCAGCAAACTTTTTGAAATTTTTTTTTTAATGATTTTACTTTTTCCCTTTTTCTCCCCAAAGCCCCCTGGTACATAGTTGTATATTCTTCGTTGTGGGTCCTTCTAGTTGTGGCATGTGGGATGCTGCCTCAGCGTGGTTTGATGAGCAGTGCCATGTCTGCGCCCAGGATTCGAACCAACGAAACACTGGGCCGCCTGCAGCAGAGCGTGCGAACTTAACCACTCGGCCACGGGGCCAGCCCCCTGAAATTTTTATTACTTCATTTTGTTGAATGCACATTCATGAGTTTCAGGGGACATTTGTCATATGAAGGAACATCTTTGGCCATCTTTGGCCATTGTATTTTACTTTTCATGGACAAGTTATTTTATGTTTGTATTGCGTAGATATACTTATTCAAAAGCTAAATGATATGATTTTGTGAAGGATTTTTCCTGTCTCATTTGAAACAATGAACTTTGCAATTTTTGTTTGGACTAGGAAAATCTTATCTACTTTGTAGTATGTAGAGTATCCTGAATTAACTCATTAAAAATTTGTAAAAGAAAAATAAAATTAAATGAAGAAATGTATCCAAAACCTAACACAAATTTTGGAAAGTATCTTTGAGTACTAGCAAATTATTGAAAAAAGCCTTTTCTGGGAGTGGTCTCCGGACATTGAATTATCTATGTTTCTCCCTCCTCCCTGTGACAAAACACAGTTGATAAACATACACAAAGATATAACATTTAGACATTCCTCTCACTTTGAACTTACTTTCTTTTATCAATTTTTAATCTCTTGAATATATTATAAACCAAATATTTGCTCCTGGGTAAAATGTCTTTTAATTGCAAATGATTTGACTCCTTAGCGGTGATATAGATCAATTAATTTTGATATATGGCAAAAATATCGATATCACATGCATGCAGTACCCGTTGACAATTTATATCATCATTTGGGCGCAGGAGAAAATATATCCTGAGGATACATATTCCCTGACAATTTGTATTTTTATTTAGAACAAAGAAATTTGAGGATTATAACACATTGAATCCTATGGGACTAATACATTTAAAAAAATAAATAAACTTTTTATCCTAAAATCCATTGAAAGATGAAAAACAAATCAAACAAAGACCTTCTAATCTTCTTAGGCTTAAATTGATTATGCAGAAAACTTTTGGAGTCTTCCTACCTAGGTACAGTTGAAAATAACATAGACGAGTATCGATCCTGAAGGAAAAAGTCCTATTTAAAAATAGTGAAGAATTATTACGTCTTAAGATTCTTTCAATTTTAGAACTTGTGTGATCTTCCTGTTTAAAGGCGCTAAATATTTCATAGAACATTTTCGTCAGGGTTCAGACTTTCCTCTTTACTTCCTTTCTATTTTAAATGGTGTTTTCATGGGCCTATGAAACACTTGACACATCCGCAGCGAACTATAAGCTACTTATCCTGGGTTGGATATAAATTAAACCCCTGAGATGCACAGCATGTTGTGTTTATTACTCTTTGTCTTTTATCAGTAATGACATGCACACTGATAACGTTCTTATTATATACTAATTTTTTGCATTTTTCTCTTATATGTACTATTTTATAGATCTAAATTATTTAATCGACCCCTCTTTCACTAATGATCGTCATCTCCCCACTCTTTCAGTGACATGTTTGAGAAAATGCTTTAGTTTGTTCCTTCCTCTGTTTCTTTCCTTTGAAAATGGTCACTGACATTATTAAACTGGCTTTTTTTCTCTGTGAAGACTTCACATTTGGGGTCTAATTCTGAAAATTGATTACTGGACACTTCGTAGCCTGATATGAAACTTAAGTTAACAAGATTGAGTGATATAGACAATAGAAAGGAAAACATCTTTCAGTGTACAGAAATAATTCTTTCTTCACACCGAAACAATTGCTTCTTTGAACCTCACTCAATATAGACATCTCGGGATGAAAGAGTATGTTTTGAATACTTAGTTACTGATCCTCATTTATTACATGTTCATGAATGTAATTAAATTTTGAGAAAACTTCATAGCTTTGCTTTTCTATTTCAATTAATTCCACGTGTACACTCGGAGGTTAAAGACACACGCATGTTACCACCCATGCACTCCCACACATATTTGCACATGTTCTTCCATATAAACCCAAAAAGCTAAAGCTGTTTGCCAGTTTTAAAATTGGAAAATAAAACCAAAACATCTCTAGCTCCTGATGAAGCAGGATCCCCTCAAGCTGCTTGCTTAGCCTTTGATATGCTTTTTAAGGTTATTCATATGTGACTTTAATGCTATGATGTTCCTGAGATGATAAATTTCGTCTAAGGGGTGGCTTAATGCCTGTAAAAAAGATCAACTATTTTCTGGGTAAAAGATCTTCTTTTGTTTTTCTTGGTCATGTTCCAATCCTGTGGCTGGATATAAAACTG